ATCTATGAGCAGATATTTAGTTTTCTCTCCATCCACAGTCATTGTGGTTAATGCAGGGAGGTTCACTGCTCAGTTATGTGAAGAAGGGACAGCTATTTCTTATCTGCCACAGTTGTCGGAACTACGTGATTTAGCCCACCACTGCTAGTAGGAAGCAAATTCCGACTCTCGAATAATACATCTGCTTATTAAAAATTAGGAGTTCTAAAGCAGAGTTTGTAGTTAACCTGAATAGATCAATGTCCCCTGGTAGGACAGTGCTAAGCCGACTTACAACCACTATATAAGCTAACTAATAAACCACATTTGTTTTCTGTTTGATAATGCTTCTTAATTCAAGCTTAACAGTTAAGTACTTTTCTTTGTGCAAGCTACACTTTAGTTAAAAGTACAAGACTTTAATGTACTCTTAATTTAAGAGTTCAAATGGGTGTTTAACTAAAGTAATGGGTAGTCCTAACTCTTTCAAACTCTTATCTAGCCATGATGCCAACAGGGAAAAACATCAAGAAAATGAAAAAAAAACTTTTCTGGTAATAACTTGGACCTACATTTTATTTGAAAATTTAGAAGTAAGTTTATGGCAAGAGATGGACGTGTACATAATTTTTAATTTCAAAATTCAATTATTTTAAAACTTGCAATGGTGCACTAAATGGTGCTTATAAGATTAACTACAACCATTAACAGCATTCTGAGATAGAAATGTAAAAGATCCATGCACTAATATGTGTAATTTAGTTTATTTGGAGATACAAATAACTTTCTCACAACCTGATAAATGTAGCTGTATCATTTTAACAAATACTGCTTTATCCGTTTCTTTACCACACCTTGCAATTTCAGGAAGATACACATTTGCTAAACACTAAAACATAGTAAATGTTTTTTATTATGTTTACCACAATTGTGTTAATCCACATTTTTAAACAAATTAACTATCTGTCATAAATGTGGTTATGTTGTGTTCTGAAGTTTGGAATAGTCTTAAATATAATACAATCTGCCAATTTAGTAAAAATTAACTATAGTAAAACTTGATACTAATGTTTTTCTCTCTTACCCACTACTGCCAACTTGTGAAATAATGAAATTGGTTTAGTTTTTTTAATACTTGTTATACTTGACATTCTGTTACATTATCCTAAAGAAACTATTTTACAAAAAGCTGTTTAATTTTTCTAAACTGTAGTTGACTGTTTTTCTCCAAAAAGTTTAGTTTTACAGAATGAATGATTTATAGTTATCTTTTTTGTTGTTGTTGTTTAAAAAACTATTTTTTATGAAATATTATCATTACTTATTTCTTTGCATTCATGTAGCTTTCAATTTTTAATACAGCTTTTAAGCAATTTCCAATAAATATAATTTCATTTTAAGCTCTTACATTTATTCGTTGTTTTGGCAAACCACAATATTTGTACAATTGCTTGTTCTTGTGCTTTTCTTTTAAACTTTTAAAATAAGAGTTATCTTGTCTTCCTTTCATATCTAACAGTAACATACTTTTCCTTCTGATTTTTTATTGTTTTGATGTAGATTTTTACGATATATATCAACATAAAGTGCATGAATATAATTTTATTGTTTTAGGAATTATAAAAGGCGATGTTTAGGACGTATGAAAAAGCAAATTGGTGATCTTGCCCTCCAGGCAGGCTTGCCTCTGGAGGCATTGACTATGTATATTTCTGCAGTGGAACAACTAAAGTCTGTCAATGATTGGCTGTGGCTTGCAGCTACATATGAAGGCCAGTGTTCTGCTTCAGCAGTTCTCCTTTATCCAAACCTAACTTGTGCACTGCCTCCCCTTCAGCGGAATTCCTCATTCCCAGTGGGTATTCCTAATACTGGAGTGAAAAGTAGATCAGGTTTGTTATGTTTAATTAACAGATATTTGTGAGCTATTAGAACAACGTGAAAAATGTTTATTGACACCCAGGTTGAACTCAAAATTTTTTTTATTGATATACCTAACTTTAATGAAATTCAAGAATTAATGAATAATTTTTCAGTTAAAAATGTAAGTCATAAGTTCCATTTGGATACTTTTAGAGTAACACAGGCAAGAAAAATAGCCTGAAATGTAGGACAGAAAATTCCATTCACTTGTACAGCGAGTTGCGATCAAGACAAATATGTATTAATGTCTGAATGCTCTTGCCCACAAACTTGCTAATTATTGATGCGGTTGTATCCAAGACTAGAACACCTACTGGATGCAGACATGTTAAATAAAAAGTAACAACCTTTAAGCAATAACTGGCATTCTTAAGAAGTAAACTCTTGCTGCTGTAACTTTATTGTCATAGTTGCCTTAGACTTCTTTATTTCAGCTGTTTAGATGGACAGTTGGTTTCCTTTTCAATGTCCTTTCACCATTGATGTTTCTTCATCTTTTCATCCTTGTCACTTCTAAATGTCACATTAGTTCATCCCTCCATCTCTGTTTTTAGTTTTTTTCAGTTACTTTATTTTGTTTATCATTTTTAATCAGTAATATTAATATATTTTTTATGCAACAGGAAAGATTGAGTTGTATGGGAAATTATGAGAGATCGTGTATGTCTTCGAGGTTTTGCAAATCCTCGAGATGGCTTTTATAAGTCGATTAGCAAAAGTTGTTTGCTACCTTATCCAGCATATACATCAATTTTATACATTTCATTTCTTGTATTCTATGCCAGTTGTAGTTTTGAGATAAAATGTTTTCTCTACATATAATTGTAGAATGAACACTAGTGAATGAGAGACTAATAGATCATACTCATGTAGTTTACTCAGGTGAAAATTGCTGCATTATGGTGTCCTGGTGAAACAAAATACATCTTCAAAAGTACTCTAGCATAATGAATGTTTATGGAGTATGAGGAAATAAATCAATATATATTATAAACTAACTAAAGTACCCAGCTTCACTCAGGTTATTACACTGATATTTTACTGATCGACTGTGTCTGCGTGTATTTTGAACCTATTTAGATATGAGATACAACCAAAATCTTACTGTTTTGAAAGCAATAATATTAATTTTAAATTTACAAAGCTATGTGTTTGTGAATTGTGTAGTACATCTTTCCAAATATGAAGTTAAAATTAAATTTGTTTTATTTAATATGAGATTAGGAGTTTGTACTCCAAAGATTATGATGATTTTGTTGTCCGGTTTCACAACAATTTTCTTGTCAGCCACGTTA